CCACAAACCTCTAGGTGTCCTGCTGCTCCAGGACAGACCACTGGGATTCATAAGACCCTTGGCCTGTAGAGAATGATCTCAACCATGCTGAGGTGAAACAGACAGTCAGGTTCACACCCAGCATGCACTGCGGTCTGCACTCTGAGCTTGCTTTCCTCGAAGCCCATCCTTCACACCACCTTCTCTGCGGTGCACCTTCCCCCCAGCTGTAGTTACTGAGGCTTAAATATCCCACATTCTGTTCCTTGGGTTTGTTTATAGCATTTCTTGTTGGAATAGAAGCTACCAAGCCCATCTTTGAGGAAATATGACTATTTCCCAGGGCTGCTGCCAAGCGCGTGGGCTCTTGGCTTACAGATCAACCTTCCCCTGGTCTTTCTCATGGAAAATGGAAGTGACTGGATGTTCTCATGGGAGCCAACTGGACAGAAGGGAGGAGCTGGGATGAAAAGAGTGGGTATCCAGAGACCATTGGGCAGAACTTGCCCTTTGCTTCACCATAGCAACTGGACGAGAGTGGAGTGGGTGTGATGGGTAAGGTGGAGTGCCAACTGGGTTGATTTTGTGATGCCCTGGGGGAGTATGGCACTCATTTCTGGGTACATCTGGGGGCAAGGGGTGAGGGAGGAGTGGCCTTGAGCACCACAGCGGAGCCCCACCACTTCCTCACCGTGTGTTGCCTCTGCTTCGCCATGATGGTTCTGCCTTGGAGCGCAGCGAGCCTGGACAGCAGTGTATGTATGGTGGAGAGGAGTGCTCTCGGCTGCGCCCCCTGCTCTGCGTGGCCCATGCCCACCGTGCTCCTGGCTCACCTCCCCCTGGCCCTGCCGACTCCCTCTCCCCAATCTCATTGCTTTCTCTAGCCCCTGTTGAACATGATCTCCTCCTTTGATTCTCTTAACACTTTTAATTCTATCAACGTAATAGAGAAAACAATAACCAGACGTATACAAGGCCAACATTATGCCTTGGCAAACTCCTTAAATGATTTCTAAATAAATACATGCTTGTTCCTTATTTAAATGTATATTTCCCCCAATATAATAGATTATGTCATCAAATCTGCCCTACAGTAGAAGGAGCTAGATTAGAGGGAGCTGAACACCCTAAGTCATCACCCACAGTCTGACATGCAAATTCAAGTGCTCAAAAGACACACCAAAGTCAGGCCCAACCCAACAGCCACAGTCTCTTGTGACTTTGTCCAAGGTGGTCCTCCTGCCTCCATTGGACCTGAGTCTACTCACTGTGAGTGTCTCAGCCACTGGCTTCACTCTGCCCTGCTTTCAGAGGCAGTGTCTCCAGATACCTGCTTCTCCTAACTCACCCTCCCATGTCTTCCCTGCGCTCGGATCTGCTCAGATAATTCTCCTGCCTCTGACCTAGTTCACTGAGTAAACCATAAACTGACTGATCCTTGGTCTGGCTCAGGTGTTTCCAAAGCAGTCTTTCCTCGGGCAGCCTGAGCAGGTGAAGACAAGAATTTTCCAGAACCCATGCCCTGGTCACTCCACCCCCAACTACTGTCAATGCAGGAGAGAACTGCACTGACAC